ATTTCATTTTATTTTGTTTTATTTCATTTTATTTTGTTTTATTTTATTTTGTTTTGTTTTATTTTGTTTTATTTGATTTGATTTGATTTGATTTCATTTTATTTTATTTTATTTTTCCACCAGGCATAAAAGGGCCAAACTCGACCCAAGCAATAGTTAATTTGTAAATATGAAAACCCTGAAACTCACGAGGTTACCATCTACAAAATCAGGTTTGGTTTGTAGCGGCGGTAAACTCGTGCAGGGTTAACACATGTTTTTGGCGATTCAAATTCTAGCCCCTCCATGACAAGATTTGCAACTACAACGGATATTGTCCCATGGCGGTTCTGTGAATTTGTTCGTTATAGTTGTTCTTGTTGAAACTAAACTCAGTAGTATTTAAGCAGAAGGGTCGTGGTATTGATGTGATGACTGTCGATGTTAGGTATGTTCTTTCACCCAGGGTACTATCTAGTTTAGGTGCTTTTAGGACCCCATCTGCTCTAGGTGTGATACTTTTCTACGGTAAATGGCACTTTGTGGCACAAATACTAACTTCAAACAAACCCCTGTCCTCCACGTGGTTTTAAAAAAAAACATTTAGTTCTGAAATTATATCTACAATTGTAAGAAATTGTGTTGCTTGGAGTGCTTATTCCCTTTCAAGTCTCAAGTACTTCACTAAACACAGACTGGTGTTTGTGCAATACTTGTTTTAAACGTGGTACCTCAGTGTTAGGACTGTTCAATACTTTGATCTTTGGCAAGTCAAACCGAAATAGTTATTGAAGCTATTTTTGCAAGACCTCCAAAGCCTTTCGCTACAAATCGATTCTAGTTGTGTCAATATATCTTGAATTTAGCAAATGGAGGTCCCTTTTCTGTGGTTCTTTTATCGAACATGGATTTGCGTCAGCAAATGATCCTAACTCAAGCGGAACCACGAGCTCAGTATTTAATGAAAAAATGATTTAACCTAGGTTTTAGGAGTTTTTTTTGAATAAGCTATTAAAATTTGTAGAGTCCCGTGCAAAATTTGAGGGTTTTGCCCTCTTGAAACTCAAAACATATGAACGTCGATCTTTTTAAAAAACAAAATCTTACACACAGGTTCTAGATAAATATGCTGACACTTGGATTCAAGCAACTAAATACAATACCAACATGCATCCCGTCCGAAACATGTATTGATCACATCTACACCAATGAGACTTTAAACGTTATATGGAATATAAGGTCCCTGATATTGGCCTCTCGTATCAACGACCAATTTGTGCTGTCAGGAAACACAATGGTAAGATCCTCCAAATTTCAAGTCATAAAACATCCAGTACAGATCTCTTAAAAACTTTGATGCCAAAAAGTGCAGAGAGGATTTGAAAACTATACCATGGAACGTGATGAGTTCAGTTGGTACATGCTGTTGCTGGTTGTCACCATTACCTTGAACACTTTACCTGGAGACATGACTCAATTCTTAACTTTATTGCCAACTCGCTCAAACCTGTAATTAATCATCGCTCTTCACTTTATGCTGATGTAAATGGTTTTCTTAGTCCTTCAATTATAACTGGTGATTGACTCCGACGAAGGACTAACGTCCGAAACGTCAGTTACTATTTTCACTACGGTGTATTGTTGTATGATGTCATAGCCTCGTTCCCATGAATAAAGCTAGTCTCGTTCAGCACATGGCGTCCGCTCGTACGTATAACATGGCGGCAGCGGTTTTTAACCCAAAAATCTAACCTTAAAACGATCTCTACGTCCTCCTAAACATTGGAAAAATCGGCGGTACATCCTAGAGAAGGAACAACCCATCCAAGAAGTTCAAGTCAAGGGAAACGGCGACCACAAGAGACGATTTGCCATCAAGACGGACTCAAGATTCTTCAGTGGACAAGTGAACAACCAAGATTTACATCCAAGCTTTTCAAGCCCTCAAGACTCAAGACGAACTTATATACCTCCAGAAGGATACAAGTAAACATAGACTGTAGTAATTTCACTGTTAAAACAATTTAGTTTTAGTTTTAACTTAGTTATATACAGTGTTTGAACGTTTGAAATACGTTTTATCGCCGAGTAAATTTACCTCGCGAGTCGCGCGAGGACTAGGGCTAGCCACAGGAAGCCCAACGATAGAAAAAACTGACAATATTAGCATTTCTCAACTATTTTTAGAAATTAATAGTGAATTTTCTTGTGATATAAGTATATTATTGTTAGTTATATTATATATATCTGTAAATCATGGCTACATATCAGATTCCTGCTCCATCAGCTATGTCTGTTAAGGGAGACGTGGCGGAGAATTGGAAGGACTTTGAAAACTCGTGGGAGTATTACGTCATTGCAATCGACTTCAGGTCTAAAATGGAGGAAGTTAATGGGAAAGAAATTATTGCAGCTACACTCTGCACTGTAATGGGAGGAGACTGCAAAAGAATCATGAATTCCCTGCCAAGCCTCTCCGCCGAGGACAAGAAAGACCCGGCTAAGATCATAGAGGAACTGAAAAAGCACTTTATACCCCAACGAAATGTCCTTTATGAGCGCTTCATCTTTAACTCCGGTTCTCAGAAACCAGGTGAAACAGTTGATGAATTCGTGATACGCCTAAGACAACTAGCTAACTCGTGTGAGTTCGGAACACTCAAGGACTCTCTCATACGAGAYAGAATAGTGATTGKTACAAGCGAYGAAGGGGRCCGAGAACGTCTCCTGAKGGAAAGACCTGTACCCAACCTATCGAAGGTCATCGACAGTCTACGTGCGTGTGAAATATCGAGGACGCACAAACTTGTCATGACTAAAAAAGATCCAGACACCGTCAACTACACGGCAGAGAGAAGACGCCCCTCGAACCAGCCTAAGAGACCCAAGAACGGAGGCAAACCTACCGACCGTAAGAAGCCGTTTACACCAAAACCAAAGCAACAGCCATCAACAGGCAACTGCAGGTGGTGCGGACGAAAGACAGACCACTCTCGTAAAGACTGTCCAGCCAAAGATGCGAAGTGTCGCCTGTGCAGTAAAAAAGGTCACTTCGCCATCGCCTGTCTGTCAACAAATCGCGTCAACGAAGTAGGAAATGATGACTACGTTGAAAGCACCTACATGATGGGAGAAGTTAGCGGTAACAGAGATGAATTCTGGTCTTCAGAGGTGAAAGTCAACGAAAAACTCTGTGATTTCAAGCTTGACAGTGGCTCAAAGGTCACAGTTGTTGGCGATCAAACTCCTTGGATCAAGGGGCTCCGTCTCGATCCTATAAAGAGCGAGTTCCGAGGCCCAGGAAATGTAAAACTGTCTCACCTTTTCAAAGGTCAGATTACAAATGCAACTSTARAAGTCGGCGGAAAGAGGCACAACGAGAATGTGTACGTCATGACAAACCAATCAAGTAACTTACTGTCAAAATCAGCGATACAAGCACTCCAGTTGCTCATCCCTGCCCCAGAGGTACACAACKTCGAAAAGGTGCCAGACTTCAGAGCAGAATACCCGAAGCTCTTCAAAGGCCTGGGATTGATGAAAGAAAGCTACACCATCCCACTCAAGGAAGACGCAGTTCCTGTCTGTTTGTACACACCCCGGCRTGTGCCTCATCCTCTCCTACAAAAAGTGAAGGAGAAACTTGAAAACATGGTACGAGATAAAGTCATCTCACCTGTGACAGAACCTACCGACTGGTGTTCCGGCATGGTCGTTGCCCCTAAAAGGAACGGAGACGTGAGGGTGTGCGTGGATCTAACGAACCTCAACAAAGCAGTCAAGAGGGAAATCCACCCTATGGCAAGTGTCGATGAAAACCTAGCCAAGATTAGAGGCAGYAAACTGTTTTCTAAGMTCGACGCCAACTCTGGATTTTGGCAGATCCCTTTAGCAGAAGAGTCCCGTCTGCTAACCACGTTTGTGACGCCCTTCGGGAGGTACTGCTTTAACCGCCTCCCATTTGGGATCAGCTCTGCACCGGAGGTCTTCCAACGCACAATGTCTTCGGTGCTGGAGGGACTTGAAGGGGTCRTCTGCCACATGGACGATACCCTCATTCACGGCCAAACCCAGGAAGTACATGATGCCCGCGTCCGGCAAGTCCTAGACCGACTACAAAAAGCAGGCATCACGCTAAACGACAAGTGTGAGTTCTCCAAACGAAAGATGAAGTTCCTGGGCCACGTGATATCAGAGAATGGCGTTGAGGCAGATCCAGATAAGACAAAGGCGATTAGAGAGTTTCCACGGCCTACAAACGTGAAAGATCTTCAGAGGTTCAACGGTATGGTCAACCAACTAGCCAAGTTCGTCCCAGAGTTGGCGAMGATCAACGAGYCACTACGTCAGCTACTGAGAAAGGACCATGCATTCCTGTGGGATCAACCACAAGAACAGGCCTTCCAAGAGATCAAGCAGAAGCTAACCTCACCTGATGTGTTAGCCCACTACGATCCAAGCAAACAAAGTGTTGTCGCTGCAGATGCGTGCCAGGACGGTCTAGGGGCTGTCTTGCTACAAACTGACACCTCTGGTCTTCGCCGCCCGATAGCCTTTGCCTCTCGCTCTCTCAATGACACCGAAAAACGCTACGCCGTCATTGAAAAGGAGGCTCTGGCAGCAACATGGGCGTGCGAGAAGTTCAACGACTAYGTCCTGGGCACTGAGTTCACCCTGGAAACAGACCACCGACCACTCGTCCCTCTACTGTCAAGCACAGATCTTTCCAAGCTACCTCCAAGAATCCTACGCTTTCGCCTACGTATGGCAAGATATGCACCGGAGGTAAAGTACGTACAAGGAGTACATCAATGCACAGCCGACGCCTTGTCAAGAGCGCCAACCAGTGARCCAGACCTAAAAGACCTACAGCTCATCGAAGAGGTGGAGGAAATCAGCGAAGCCACTATTGGATCTCTCCCAGCTACTCAGCAACGTCTCAACGAGATCAAGACAGCACAAGACGGAGATGCAGTCTGCACACAAATAAAGACTTACTGCCAGGAGGGATGGCCCGACATCATGCCCTCTCAACCACTTCTGAAGCCGTACTGGGAGAATAAACAGCACCTTACTGTATCGAAAGGACTGCTCATGTACAACAGCAGGATCGTAATCCCGCAATCACTCCAGCTGGGAATGTTGGAGGTTATCCACGAGGGCCACCTCGGTATCACTAAATGCCAAGGTCGCGCCGGTTGCTCAGTCTGGTGGCCACTTATCACCAAACAGATAGAGGCCATGGTAAACCGGTGCCACATCTGCTCCAGACTRCGCCCTGAAAGAAAAGAGCCTCTTATACCACTTTCATATCCCAGCATGCCTTGGACACGTCTTGGCACAGACTTGTTCGAGATTGACAAGAAAATGTACATTGTTGTAGTAGACTACAACAGCCGATGGTTCGAAGTCAAGCAGCTCCATACAGTCACAGCCAGCGCAGTAATACGCGTGATGTGTGAACTCTTCGCAACGCATGGCATACCGGACACTGTGGTCTCGGAMAATGGGCCGCAATATGCCTGCCAGGAGTTTAAAGAATTCGCCAAGGACTGGGGATTCCAGCACGTCACGTCCTCACCGATCTATCCCCAAGCTAATGGTGAGGTCGAAAGAGCTGTGCAAACAGCCAAGAACATACTCAGAAAGAACGCCAATCCATACCTAGGACTGCTAGCATATCGGACGGCACCCCTGCAGAATGGGCTAACCCCCGCAGAACTGCTTATGAGGCGGCGGCTTAGGACAAGATTACCAGCGATACCTGAAACCCTGGTACCCAACGAAGTTGACCGCAGGAAAGTTGAAAGAAAAGAAGAAGCATATAGAGAAAAGTATGCCAAGAACTACAACCAGCACCACAAAGTTGTATCTCTCCCAGCCCTCGAAGAAGGAGACCGAGTCTATATCCGTGACCAACGGAAGTACGGAGAGGTGCAAGGGAGACACTGCAACCCGAGGTCATACAAGCTGCTAACGGATACTGGCGCCAGAATCAGACGAAACCGAAGTTCACTGATCCACACCGGAGAGARCGCAGCCGCGAYRGATGAAGGATGCACAGCAACTACCACCACCRGCCAAGATCCATCAACCCCTCCGCAAGWGCACTTACCTCCAATTGTCACGTCTCCCACCACGGATGAAGCTCCYGTCCGTCGGTCTAGCAGACATGTTAAGCCTWACCAACAGCCTGACATGCATTACTACTAGGAGCTAGTCTATATTTTGATAGCAMSGAAGACATTTGTTCAAGTTTATATTAATGTGATTTATACACCAGGTAATCGAGTAGTAACCGTATCTTTGTAACTAGGATAATTAGTTAACTTTAGCTAGCAACCCACATTCAACTCGAAGGGGAGATGTTGTATGATGTCATAGCCTCGTTCCCATGAATAAAGCTAGTCTCGTTCAGCACATGGAGTCCGCTTGTACGTATAACAGTATAACTTATCATTCTACGATAACTGTTTTATTAGAAACACCGACGCAGTCCACGCTAGTGTTTACTAGCCATCATCTACTTTTCGTCCAGATCTCCTTCTCCTAATAAAGTCCAAGTGCCTTTATGTTCTGGAACTAACAGTTGGGTTTGAGTCTAACCTTAATAACAATGCAGTCCGTAAAAGAGAAAAATACAAGAATTTGATTAAAGATTTGACCAGTAAATTCAATTGCGTTAAATTTGTAAACCTCTCGATGAGCTCTCTTAGTGTCCTGTCCGACGAATGTTCTACGTTCAGTTAGACATGATGAATGACATTGGAGTCGACAAAAAACAACAACACTACATAATCAAAAAATAAAGAATCTTGCCATTAGAGCCACGTATTATATATTTT